AGTGCAGCTCCTGTGGAGAACGTGCAAAGGCAGCTTGCAGAAGGCATGTCTATATGTTGACCTGTCTGTTGTGAAAATAGGGAAGAAAGCCAATCATTTCCAATTCTGCAGACATTCTGACAGCTAAAGTAGGCATTAACAATTTGCAACACATGGCATGGGGGATGAAAGTCTCTGAGCTCTACAACTGAGAGTTTCCTGGTTGAAATGAAGTAGCAGTTGAAGGTAGCTCAGAGAAAAACCTATTTTATCATTCACCGTGTATTTTTTTGGGACAAAATGGATAACACTACCAAAAACTGGGGAAAAAATAAGGTCAACTCAAAAATAGCAACATGTTCTGGTTTCAAGGCTGAATATTTTCTGAGGGTTTTTGGCCTTTATACAGGAATTTTCATGACAAAGAAGGATCACGTTTTAGTGTACAGGTTTCTGCCAATATATAATAAACTCCTGCCTCTTCAAATAGACTTGGTACATAAAAATAATTTTGTCGCTAATATATTGATGCAGAACTAATCGTTTTGGATTTCAACTGGTACGAGAGCTGGAAGAGTCTCAGGGCATTATCCAGTCAGACATGGGTTTTGCTGGACTTGCCTGGAGAGCCTGCTCAGCCTCAGCTGGGCTGCATGGGAACGGGGTTGGGAGCACGAGCAGCAGATGTGCACGGCCAAAATTTTGGAGAGGAACAACTGTTCTTTCTTTAAAGGACATAGATTGAGCTCTACTGACTTAAACCAGAACTCCCTTGCGAAGTTAAAATGCTGTTGTTTTTCTTGCTTAGGCCTTCAGAAGGGATGTAAAACTATTTGTATGAATAATTCTGAACTAGAATAGATTGAGATGGAGTAGTAGCAGTTTTCAGCAGTTGCTAATATAATTTATATGCATTAAAGATGTGGTAAGGTGTATTTGGAGAGGCATCAAGTTTCTCTAAGAAGAAAAACAGAGTCAATACTGCAGGAAAGAATGCTATTACTTAGAAAAATTGAACGGCTGAGAGAAGGAAATACATATTTGAATTCTGATTATTTTTCAGTAATTCTGTGTAATTGGTATAACAGCAAAGCCAATTACACAAGTTAAAAGTGAAATTGTATGAGAAATGTGAAAACACTTTTGACTTTACTTTTGGAGACAGAAGCAGCTAATATTATCTTCAGCAGTGTCAATCTATGAAAATGGTTTTCTTTGCCATTTAAACTGCTTGCTTTTGATTTTATTTCAATTAATAAAATAATTCTTAGATGTATAGTCTTGGCTGACATAGTTATTGTTAAGTGCTGAACATAAGGAGTACCTAGACAATAATAAATTAATTATTATTTTTGTAATTGTGAATAATAAAAATCATTAATTATGCTGCAAAAGAAAATATCTAGGGAGATATCTGATGTTAATAAGGAAAGCCTGTGTTTTGTCTGTGTTTTATTTGTGTTTTGTCATTGATTTTGATGTGCAAATTTGGTTTACTAAAGGTATTAATGTCTTGTCTTCATTGTCTCTACACTAGCATTCCCTATACAGCGTTTCAATTAAAATAAAATAAAGAATTAAACCTTAGGTGTGCAGACTAGCAAAAAGTGCTACTTTTCATGGGGAAAATTTGTACCAATGGCTGTTTTTAATGGAGGTCTCAGTACTATCAGTGCTCTTGAACTAAGAGAAATTTCCTGTCTGCTGCTGCTGTTGTTGTCCCAGTTCATGCATCCCTCCAGTGTCTGCCGGACCCCTTTTGGCATTGTCCATCTGTGGGAACTGATGGTGGGGAGACACAGGTCCTGGGCAGATGTGCACCGGGGGGATGGTTAACCAGGGGCTGGGCATCCCCCCATACCGTTCCCTGTTAGTGACATGGAAGTAATGTGTGTACAAGAGCCCTGCTGTGATTCTGCTCAACTAGTGGACATAAATCGTAGTAATTGGGTGGCAAGGCAGGAGCTGGCGCGAGGTGTGACGGCAGAGACAAAGGGAACAGGAAATCGCCATACGGCGTCATATGCTCCTTCTCAGCCTTAATTTTGATTGCAGCTGTCAGCGTGGCATTATGGTTCCTGAATGTGCCGTTTTATTGAGCTCAGCGTGTGAGAGAGATTTTTTTGAAACTGAAGTAATGCTGGAAAATGATTGGCATGAGGTTAGCTTTAGACATGTTGCAGTTCCTGAGATAGTTGAATAAGAAACAGCAATATTAACTTATTGACGAGGGGATTTTTAAATTAGTTAAAATCAGCATTTCTCATCCATGTCTTATCCTACCTCTTAATGTGAGTTATAAGTGCTAGGAGATAGAGTTGAGAGGGCATATTCCCTTAACTCAGTTTCTTAAGCTTTATAGCACGTATTCTGTTTTTCTTTCATCTATTTACACTTCATTAATGCCACAGTTGTGTTCTTTTACAGGATTAAGATGATATACTTTTACTGCTTTGAAACACATTGGGAGAAAATGTTAAAGCAGTGCTGCAACAGAAAGAAAATATATTGAAGTTGGGAAAAGATGTATCTCTATCATGACCAGTGAGAACTGGCATTGCAATGGTTTCTTATGCATTTTTACTGGAAATATTGTTCTGTGGCGGCATAAAAACATAAGTAGCTATTGACCCCTCTGTCTGCAGCTGTATCTATTGCTCAGAACTGAGAGACAAATTTCTGTATGCAGGTGTGACAGATGAGCTCTTCTTGCTTTAATTTGAACAAAACTCTTCAGATTAATTCTGGTGATTTTTTTTTTTCAAAGTGTATGTTATTTATTTTGTACTCTTTAGCCTTTCATAGGGCTAGTATTGGCTTAGAGGTACAAAGCAAAACTGTAGTGATTTTTGACATGTAATTCATAAATTAGTAGTTTTATGTCTGTTCTAAGGATTTTTATGTATATCTGTTTTAGTTAAACTTTTTTTTCTTGCACATTCTTTTAAACTTGACTGTTATCTTAGTTTTTTCACCTGCATAAATTCATAAATCAAACAGAAATGTGTAGCACTATGCAATAGCAAAATAAACTCTAACATACATATATATAAACTTCCATGTAAAAACGCTTTTAATAACACTACACCAAAATAATCAGGTGTATGGTGACTCATTTTTGTGTATTCACGTAGGAGCATACCCTGAGCAGCCTTAGATTGATATTTGTGAAATTATGTGAATCCATCTACTTACATGGCACGTTTGAAAAGGTGAGATTTACATCTGAAAAGGATGAATCAGAAATAAAAATAGATAAGATAGAGATTTTTTTTTCCCCCTCCGAAGGGTCTGGAGTCATTTACTATAGCCATTAACACCCAACATGATTTCAGGTGACATGTTTCCTCAGCAAACTTGAGTAACATTTTTATTTAAGAATAGGAGAAAGAAGAAGTAAAAACAGAGTGTCAGAGAGATGTTAGAGAACTCTTTTATTTATTAAAGCCTTCATGCGTACTTACATTGCTTCTAGATTTTTTACTATTATTGTTTTAATTAATGAAAAAAGACCCCACAAAGTTTTGGATGCAGTCTACCTAAATCTTGCCCAGATGGGGACTTTGTTTGCTAAAATTTGTCTAAATCCCAGGCACAGTATAAATACTTCTTAGGCCTGTCTAATACCCAGCTTCTTTAAGAATCTCCTCCTTAGGTTTAAAATTTGATACAGAGTAAAGTAATTTTACCTCTGTATCCTCAGAACTGTCTGCTCTGGTGGAATGCACAAAGCTATTTAGTATTTTTTTTTTTTTAAATTTTGGGCTTAAGTAAACAGATGATGAACACCACCTCAATACAGTTGAGAAAACTGAGGAACTGAGGAATACAGTCCGTTTTTAATTGCCCCCTGAATAAAGCCTTTATCCAAGGAATCAGGTGGCCAAGTTCTTGGTTCTGCTGAGACTGATGATGCTTTAGCTGCATCCTAGTGGACTGCCTATATCAACAAATCAGATCTTGACTGCAAATGGTGATGACTTTTATAAATTTTGTATGAAATAGAGACTGAACCAGGAATCCCCCTTCCAAGACTGATTCTAACAACTGGATTCTTCCCTTTCCATTGGATGCTTGAGACAACTTTTCTTTAGTTGATTTCTTAGAGGAAATAGCAGGATAACCATATCTGGAATTACTATCAGTATTAATTTGAGGGGTTTATGGTGTTGTGCATGGTATAGAAGCAGAAATTCTCTTCAGTTATGTGATATTTAGTTATTAGATAATTACAGATAATTAAGTGGGCAAGTTCTATGAACTAAAGTGTTACCATAACATCTAAAATCTACAAATTGGGTAACAATTATGTTTGGAGTTATATCATTATTTCACGTATAATTACCATGAGATTGGCGGTGCATGTAATTAATGAGTAATGACTGGAATTTACTTTCATAGTTGCACTTCTCCTTTGTTGTAAAGTTCTTTGTCACAACATTTATGTATAAAGATAAAATAAATTGACCTCCACACGGGTTGTACTAAAACTCAAAATACTTAATTCCACTGCAGTACTGTATTCTTAATATTCTGAAAGTATAATTTCCTGGAGAAAACAGAGGAGAGATGGTGTGCTGTGAATGGGAAAGAAGTGAGGCAAACATTCAGTAGATACCAGCTAGTGTGATAACTCTTTCCTGTAGCTGTCCCAAGTAATTCTATCTTTTAATCTATTAAATAAAAGCCTTTTATTTAATTCATTTATATTAGCTATTAAATAAAAGCCTTTTATATGTTAAAGCTAGTTTGTGACTAGCTAAAATTCTGCTAAGGGTAAAGTTTGTCAAAATCTCTGCACATCACCTACTTTCTTTCATTGTAAGGAAAGTTTGATTAAGAAATTTTCATACAGTAGAGAAGAATCTGTAGTTCACTCTAGGCTTCCAGTTGAACAAAGCTTCTTTTTTCTTTTTTAAAATATTTTTCATCTAGAACACAGTTTTGCCAACCTTTCAAATTATTAAATAGTGATTTTGCCTCTTTGTTGTTTTTTGTTTGTTTGTTTCATTATTTATCAGGTTTTACCTGGCGAGATGATTATACACAGCATGTCATTGGTCAGGAACTCTCAACCATACACAAAGTTCACAGCAGACACCCTGATACATTTGCATCTGAAGGGTCTGAGACAAGAAGGTAAGTCTTCAATAGCGTTTTTGCCTAGTAGGTTTTTGGGAGCGTTTGCAAATGGTGAGAACTAGCTGACCCTGAAGCTGAATTAAACACATCACCAAAACCACTGCCTGTACGCTGAAGGGAAACTGGTACATCAGCACTGAAACACCAGTAGGAAAACAGCTGACAGAATGAATGAAGCCCTCAATCCTGTTCTTTTGATTATCATCAAGTTAAGAAAATATGCCTTCTGTGGTTAATTTAGGTTTCAGAACTCAAATCATCAGGCCTTTTATTGGTTTTTTTTGGTGTCTGGTGTCAGTTCAGCCAGCTCTACTCAGGACTGGCTTAAAAAGGCAGACATACATAGCTCATCTGTAGCAGGTATTTTGTTCTGTGAGAAGCCAACAAAAAGAAACAAAAACAAAAGAATGACATGCTGAGTGACTGATTATATTTTCATACTCATATTCTTCCAAAACGTAGTTGTAATTGATTCAGAGTCTATATATTCTCAGCTTTAGCTGCAAAGTTTGTCCAGGAAGGAGAGATTCATGCAAGTTCCCATGACAGAAAAAAATGTTGGTCGTTTGTAGCTGTTCTTTGCATTATAGAAGCCATTTTACTCATGGCCTGAAAGATCATAAGGGGTGACTTATTAGTTGTTGGTGGCAAGAGACACAACATCTATAATTCTGTAAAGTGGTACGGATGTAGTACCTGCAATTATATATCATCTCCATATACAGCTACACATATAGATACATACATGCACATATAAATATACTCTTTTGCCTGGTCTGTTCTGTCCTGCAGGCTTTTAAGTGCAACCCAACCACACTAACCCTAGAAAGAAATTGTAAAATGCGTAACATTTTAAGAACATTATAAAAGGTAAATTTTGCTTTTTCCTGCATGATTTTAGGAAATGAAACCTCAAAAATAGTGAAATTGAAAGAAAGTGCATTTTGTTAGGAATCTTCCTTCATAGTGGGAAAAAGCTTGAGCTTATAGCTTGATGAGCAAGATACTGAATATTGTACTTTAGATTTTCATATACCTCAATATGTGGTTTGCATGTATTGCAGACTCATTTCTTTTCTAGATTGTTCTTTTGGAGAAATAAAAATGCTGTGTAATTGATACTACCCAGTGGCTTCAGATGTGTTTGCTTCAGTTTGTTTTGATTTAATTCATGGAATTTTACCCTGTATTTTGCATATATGCTGATTCAAAAGCATTCCTTGAAATCACAATACATTATATTTCAGAAGTACAGTAAGGTAGAAGCTCAACTTCTACTGATCTATAGCTTGTGATAAAGGTGATAATGTGGTTGAATCTGTAAACATGTTTTCACATGAAATGCTATTTCTCTCTGTACATGGTATCAGAAATTATTTTGAATATCTTCTAGGGGATTTTTTTATTTAAGAATGAGTTTATCTGAAACTTTTATTCACGAGAGTAAAACAAAATAGGCCAGATTTCTATGAGATCAAGACTGTATTACACAGTGTTCCAAATTCATAGTTATATAAAAATAAATTGCATAAGAAGATATAAGAAATCATTTTTTTTCAGATTGAGAACAGATCACTTTTAGGAGTTCCTGTTGTGATCAGGTTTGAAATGGTTTGCATTTTTAACTAGAACTATACGTTTAAAAAAAATAACCCATTTTGTGTATTGACACTTTGGGAATCAGAATTTCAAATGTGTTCCACTTATAGCAGTTCCTATTGTGGATAGATTTTCTGAAGTTACCAAGCTGTGCTTCTGAAAGCATTATCTTATGTGCCAACAGTTTAAGGCATTAATTGATTTTTCTAGTTGTCCGTTTACAATATATTCTGTAGGTCAGTGAACAGTAGGAACCTTTTCTCTCGCGTCTTTTAGATTCTGATCAAGTTTACTCTATGCTCAGTGTGCTTAATGCACTTGCTATAATCTTATCAGATAATAATGAAATAATTAAAGAGCAACTTAGTGTAGGTACCTAATTATCAAAGAAACATTATGGCAGAAAGACCTTTTATTAATGGTAACGTGTGTAATAAGACAATATGAAGTCATACTAATGAGTCATTAATCCCCACAGAGCTAGTAAGAGCAAGAAAATAGACTTAGACACTTGAAAGGTAAATTGACTTAGGCTAAATTAGTGCGTAATAAATCTGATGAAACAGAAGACATGGATTTCATCTTTAAAAAAGTGCTGAAACTCAGAGCTTGATTTCAAGATGAAAGTTCTTTCTTTGGTGGCTAACTGGAGTGTACATGGTATTTCCTGGGCCCTTATTAAATTTCAAATAAAACTCACTCTTGAAAGAGGATCCAAGATAAAGGAAAAAAGTCCATTCTGCACACTGGGAATAAATGTCAGTTATGTTCATTGGTGCAATTAGCCAAAACCACAAATGTTTTCAGCAAACTTCAATGTATGAAATTATTTCTGTAATAAAAACATCGTTAAGTCAGTAGCACGACTCTAACATTTAAAAGAGAGAAACTTTATTCCTGAAAAGTGTGGTATCTATTAATTGAGAACATTCTAGAAATATCTGAGGTGCAGAAATTTAGTTATTTCCACACAAGAGCTTCTAAAGCACTGGGCTTTGTAAGAAATACCTAATTATTTCTGTAGATAAATAAATATATATATTATTCTTTATACCCTAAAGTTCATTGTACGCAACACCCTTTTTTCAGAACAAATTAAAACTGAAAATACTCCCAAATAACTACTCAACAAGAACTCATCTGAAAGTCATTTCTCCTACTGTCCAGGTGCTTTTTTATACATCTTTTATCCATTTTCCAGTATCACTTTGCCTAATTTAAAAATAATACTTTAATTCAGTTGCAATAATAGCTCATTTAATTCATTTTACTTTTTGTGTTAACAAGGTGAACAACAATGATAAACTAGTGAACCACAAAAATTTATTAAAAGCTTCCAGATGTATTTATAGGATTTTATTAAAGTTGTCATCAAATGAAATGTAATGCTTTGTTATACTTTAAATTTTGTTTAAAAGTTTATAGTACAGAATATTAGAACTGATGTGGAATGTAAACACCATTTGAGTGCAATTACTATCTCCATAAGAAAAAATGAGAAATCTTAGATTCCAGATTTGGCTTTTCACCACCGGTGTGAGTAATTATGTACTGTAAATAACAGCTTGAAAAGCTAAATAATGTCTTTTTCTGTACATTCACTTCCCATTAGCTCCAGTGGAAATCCTCAGGACAGAATTTGGTCTGGTACTTCCATTTACCCTTTATTTTCAAAATTAGCAAAGAAAGAAGATAGGTGTTGGAACTAACTGATGAATGAAAGATCAGCGTCTGAATCTGGGATACCTTCTGTGATGAGAACTTCTTTGGATTAGTTCATCTCTATTGAAGCAGAAAGCATAGTGCCCAGTAATTTCTGAAACTGCAGAACAGTTTTAGTCTGGCTTTAAGTTGAAAAGGAGGCAGGTAATGTTGCCTGCATGTCCACCCTTCATCATAAGGCAGAATTTAAAGTCTGGAATAAGAGAAAAATATGACCAGTGTGCAGAGGAAGCCAGACTAGTGGTGAACTATATCCAGCTGGTTATCATGTTCTGTGCAGTAAACCTGCCTTTTCCTGGAGTCTGTCCCTGATAGGTGGCTGCTTGTCTTATGCTGGGGAGAGGTGGAGGGTCTTTCCAGTACTTCAAAGTGAGCAACCCTGTGAGCACTATTGGTTGCAATGCCACCATAGTAAATTAGATTATTAATTACATTTTTTGGTATTAAATTACTGGGGATGCATGTTTAATACAGCTATGAGCCTGGAAGGAAGTCTTTTAGTTTGTGCATAAAGTAACATAGTTAAACTCAGCATTTAGATTATGACATCATAGTACTTTCTCAGGATGTGCCCATACATAAGCATCATGACTGGGGCTGGTAGAATAAAATTTTGCTTACAGTGGCATGGACATGTTGAAAGTCAAATGATTCCTCGTCTCCCTGAGCCAGAAAGCTCTTCCACTTGGAATTCTTCTTCACTGAAGAAGTCTGTGGGCGTGTGGATAGGAAATGGTGATTTCCCTCAAAACATTGTGTCACCGGGAAGGAAGCAGACTGGGAACCCTCTCTCGCTCTCTGCTTGCTTGCAGGAAGAATGAAATGGTTACTGGTGTTGACATTTAAATTGTCGTCATCATTGACATGTTGTTGAAATACATGGGGAGGGCTGGTAATAATTCAGATTCATGGCACACAGTGCTTGGAATCCCATATAAACATCTCTACGCTGCTCTTGTTTAACCACTTTTGTAGCTTTTCTTTGCAAGCATCACCAAGATCTGTCTAAACCACTCAGGAAACACTGCTATTCTGTGAATCCTAGGCACATGAGAAGATCAGAAAAGATACTCTTTCCATCTCATTATTCCCTTTTTAAGCCATTAACTGGATCTGACGTGCTCAGTTCTTTCTGTGCATCCAGCAGCCTTGTATTCTGTAAATTGGTGCAGGGCCAATTTGATGTTGAATGTCATCATCATCCAGCCATTTTAAAAAATCTTAGAAACATATGATATTTTTTGGAGGTGCAATTTTGTCATGCATATTTTCTTTTTACAGACGCTTTCTTTTCATCTGAATATGGCTTTGCCTTGATTTAGGAATTTTATTTGATTTACTGTTGGGTCATTAACTTTGATTCATGCAATAAATTGTTAATAGTGCAATTTTTTTTGACTGCTTTTGCCAAAACATTGAGTTTTCTATACTTTTGTGGTTAATAAAATTTTGAGTGACTTTTTTTGTTATATATGGAACTAACTTCAGTGATCTGCGGTGCCTTTTTAGTTAGGTGTTTTGTGCAGGCTGGTAACTTTCTTTTCCTTGCTTTTGCTGTGCAGGACTTTGGGACAGAATGCAGAAAACGAAAGAAATTACAATCTGAAAAATGATGTGAACTTGGCCAAGTCTCTTCAGCAATATTTTAAATATCTTAGTATTCTCTCCCAGTCTGCATCTACAAATTTGTATCCAAGAAAGACAAATGACAAAACTTCAGTCAAGGTAGTATTATTAATTTGTTTCTTACATTCTGTGATTTTAGTTTTCTTTTTCTCTGAATTCTCCTTATTTTTCAACTTTTGCTTGTGTCTCGAGGCCAGACATTGTTTCTTACGGCCTCCTCCAGTTGATTGTTGTAACTTCACTAACCATTTCTGTCTAAATGAGGTGAATCAGCCTCTCATCTGGAGCATTTTACCTTAGTTAGGGACAGGCTGTATGTGAAGAACGAGGAAGAGTGGGATAGAGGTGGTAACATCTTCACTGGCTGGTATGAAACTGTTCTCACAGCATCTGAACTGTTCCTCCTGGGCTCTGTGGATTCTTGCTGGTTTTTATGGTGCTTAGAGTACAATTAATATAATCTTTGAGCAGATTTTGATAATGGATCTGATGAATTGTGCCTTGACATTTCCTGCTTGGTGATCGTTGAAAAAGCTTATTGTGACTAATTGAGGTTCATATGTATACATTACAAATATATGGATAACTAGAAGGATAAATCACACCATTAAATCTTGAGTATTGGCTATTGTAAAAAATACACAGGAACACCTCTTTGATAACTATTTTTTTCCTAGAGAAAATCTGTGTCACTCTAAGATGGAGCTTGATAAATTTATAAAAATGATTGGGTGAAGGGGCTGTATATAACAGGCCCTTATAGGCCTATTTCTTTTGTTAAAAAAAAAATTATCCAAAATACTCTATTTTTTTAAAGAAACAGCCTGCTCTCACAGCGATCCTTTCCAAAAATTGGTATGTGCTGTTTGCAGTGTAAATGCAGCAACCTCAGCTTAAAAATATACTGAAGCTTTAGGGAAAAAATTGGGTAAAGAAAATAGAGTGTCAAAGCCAAACTGCTAGTTTTTTCCAGGAACTGACTCAGAGACTTGGAACTGCTGCAGTGAACCTGCAACAGCAGCTTCCAACAACATTAGTAGTTGCATCAACTATTTATTTTAGTCATGGTATAGCTGAAATGCTATTATTCTGTCACAAGCTGCAAGTTCCCAGTTTCACTGATTGGCATACACAACACCTAAGATTTGTGGAGTGTGTCATTAGGTGTTCATTGGGGACAAGACACACCTGGAAGCAGCAGCGAGGCAGCTTTGGGGATGGAGGAGTGACCATCTTCGTGGTACTTTTCCTCCTCTCTCTACTCATGGGTGCTGACTGCAGTGAGGATACTCTGCTTTGAATCGCTGGCTTTCAGAGACAGGAAAACTTGCTCGAGAAGTATTTCAGTGGGTCTGGTGCTGTCATGCAAGTTCATAAATAATCCATATGGCTGAGACCTTCTGTGGGGAAGCCTGCTGTGATAACACCACCCACCAACCTTATCGAGTGTTGCCATGGAGATGGGTACTCTGAAGCCTGGGGGGAGTCAGATAAAGGAGAAAATCTGGAAATGCAGCATGTATAGGAGCAAACTGTATACTGGTATTTACTAAGGAGCATTTTAAAATGGCAGAAATTGAGTCAGATGTGTTACCTATAGTGTGGAGTTTTTTTAAAAAGGGAAGATAATCTTAAAAATCAGTCAGGAATTTTGAATGATCCTGGAGACATTTCTCTGCCTTCTGGAAATCAAATGCAACTGCTAATCTTTAAAAAGACACCGTATTTGTACCTGGATTTGTTGGGTCATTGTTGGAATAACATTTAAATAGAAGGATTTTTGCTACTCGAAGAAGCAGGAAAAAACCCTGAAATTTAATGACTTGAAAAGATTAGGAAGGAAAGTAACTGCCAGAGCTACATTTGGTATGGTTATACCACTTGAAAATGGAAATGGCTATCTTATGCACTTTAATTGCATCCTTCAACAAAATCTTTGTACCTGGTTTTTATATTTATATCTATATAAATTTTAAACCTACATTAAATAATTATAGCAAGATCTTACCTTTTTAACTTTCTTACACTTTCCTGATTAAAAATAAGTGTAAGACAGAGGTACTTTACCCTACTTAAACTTAGAATTGCAGCTTTGGGGTCTTTGCCTTTCATAAAAATAATTTTCTTTCAAGTATATATTTACCTCTATCACTTCATTCTTGCTGTCAGGGAGTAGGAGATGTAATACTACTCTGGTTGCTTTGATACCTTACCTGCTATGAAGTACAGCTGAATCTTGCAGAATTTTAGTGCTTCTAGGCAGACCTCCTGGGTGGATTCTGATTCGTTCCAAAACTGTCATCACACAACTCTGGCCAAGAGTAAAACAAAGGAGGAAAAAGACAAAGAGGCTTTAAAATATTTGTTGTACTCCAAAATTGTTACTCAGTATCTTACCATAGATGTTTTTAATCAAACTGCCTTAACAAACGTTTGGACTTTGGTTCTCCTACTTCTCCACACGTATTATCAGGATAAAACTATAGAGCTTGAGAATTACCAAGCAGACAGCACACATGCAGTTATGCATGAAGTTGTAGAATAAGACATAAAAGCACCGAAAACAGGTAACTCTTCCTGTTTCCTTTTTTCAAACAAGTGTCAGCTTGAAGCTTGATATAAGTGACAGAAACCACACTATTAAACTTAAATCACGTGATGGATCAAAATTCCTATAATGTCTGCCATTTATTGTAAGAGCTTCTTTGAGTGATTTTTGAAGCACTTCAGGTTAGTCAGTAACTTAGAATTCTTTCTCAGTGTTTAGGCACTATCTACTGCAGGCCATATTGTAGCCGGTTGATAGTAATCTGCCAGTGGATAAATAGCACTAAATCAGAATACTTGGTGGGCCTGTTTCCTTGGGGTTTGCATATGTAAGAACATTTCACATTAGTTCAGCTGAAATGAGTTGTTCAGAAAATGGGCACTTGGTGGCATTTTTTACTTAAGCATTAGCTAGTGGGTTTTTGTGTTTTTGCTTTTTTTTCCCCACTTGAGTTTAATGAAGGTTTTACCATTCACAAAATGCTGCACTATTGGCCTTTGTGATTACTTTCTACCAAACCTGAACTTATTATGGAAAATAACATATTGCCAGGCACACACACATGGTGAGAAAGCTTGGTTTATCTTATCTACTGAGACGAGAAATGCAGAGGCTTCAAATCGCGTGTGAATTCCCCTGCTCCTCTCCCCTCCAGTTAGAGCAAGCCTCTCTCAGAGGGTAAAAAAACCAAAAAACCTAAAACCCTGAAGAAACCACTACATTGTTGACATTCCTATGGAAACGGAGCAGCAGTGTTGTGTTGGGTTGGAAGGGACAGCACATAGCTGCTCTAACCAAGCCCAGAGAGCTCACTTGCTTTGCTGCTGCTGGCAGCCCAGCTGGTGAGCTCAGTTCGAGCAGGGATATGTGGGAAGCCTGGAGGAAAGCTTTGTATAAAGGAGGTGAGAAAGAAAAAACGTAGCTATGTCCACAGCGGCTGTTACAACAAAGCAAAAAAAGAGAGGCAGCAAAAATGATCTGTATGAAAACAAATGCTTCTATTGTCTGCTTTTCACCACCTGTTAGCCAAGGCAGCGAGAAATGATCTTACATTATTGCTTTTTAAAAAGTCCAGATGCCTGCAGATGAATAGTTACAGCAAATTTCAGTTATACTGCTTTCTTGTGACTGAGAATAACTTTTTAGTCATCACAAACAAAGATTTCAAATGTTATCCAAATGTTCTTAAAGGTCTCAGAATCAGAAGAAAATAAAAATAAGTCACCTGGGACTGTTTCTTTTTTTCCTTGAACTAGCCATCATTTTTAGCTGGAACTGTTTTCATTTTTCTTGAATTGGCAATCTTTTTCACATATTTTCTTGCCTTCTGGTAGCCTGACTTGTGAATATTGTAATGCCTCAGACTGGCAAAAACACACTGCTTTTATGACCTAGTACTGCACGGGGCTCATTTCAGACGCAGTAGCTGTAGCACACAGCAATCACGTCCACCACAACACGTGGCCTTGCGCTCTCTTCCTCACTCTTCTGATCTCCCAGCTCCACTCTGGGGCTGGATGGTTTACCAGCTCCTTGGAGGAACCTTCTGGACAGGCTATACGGATTAGAAAGTTGCCCAGTAGTGCTAGTGCTGCATTTCTTGTTGCAAGGGTCTTTGGTTTATGGTTTAGCTTTTAGGACTAGAAGATTTATGTAATTGCTCTTATTCCTTCCCCTGAGTTGGCTTCTGAGGTCTTCAGATGTGGGTTTTACCTGCTGCTAAGGTCTTCTTCAGGCTAGTGTGCCATTCAGGCCCTAGTATGTGTAGTAGAGGGAGAAAGAGAAAATTGTCTCAGAATCCTCAGGGAGTTCCATCTATTTTCTGCTGTTACTGTTTCTTTGTTTTTTTAATTACATACATATTAGACCTACATAGACTTAAAGGTAGGTATTATAAACATTGTAATTGCAGAAATCAAGACATTCTGATAAATATTATAGGGTTTGGAAAAAAACCAGAATCTTTACATCAGAGAAGTAATTTATAAAGGTCTTTGCAGAATCATGAAGGGATAAAGAAACCGAGTAACTGGTTGGCTGGTTGTTCAATCAGAAGTCCAATGGTGCTGAAAGGGGAGAAGGTGCAAATAAAAACTGTTGTGGCAGAGTTCGTTGTAATCTAGAAGGGTACTAAGTTTAGACAAGGCGTTTGGTAAAGCTTATATTTCAGTCTTTGGTACAAGAGGGGAACCTTACAATTATTCACCCCTTTCAGATTCAGGGAAGAGTACTCATAGCTTTGCTGGGTTGAAAAGCAATTATTTGACTCTTTGTAATTGATCTCCTGAAAGAACTACAATGTGTGATAATTATTAAAAAGGATTATTATTTATTTTAGCAAATCTGAGTGCACAAGTGCTCAAAGATGTGCTCTGAACTTAGCTGCAAATAATAATTACTGTGATTAACTAGTAAGAAATTACGCAGTCATTGCTCATTTTAATCTGCAGCTTTAATTCAAAAAAGCGGAACTCTTATTTATCTAACGCTGATTAAAATACAGTACTGAATGAGGATCATCAGAAATTGGTTTGATGGCTGACTGCTGAAA